CTGTCTCCACTGCCACATTCCCTTGACCAGACCCAGAGCAGACCTGTCACCACCACTGCATGCTCCTGTCTGGATGCAGCCCACAGGGAGTGCCACAGTCTAGGTCCAGCCTGGGGCAGAAGGTGAGTTAGACACTTGTACTTCAGAGGTTACTTTTCCACCTCCACGTGCTTAATTTGTTTTTTAAAAATCCGCTAGTGTTGGCAAGGAGAACAAAGCATCTGCACTTCTTTGAAGTGAAGGCAACTCTTACTTCAAAAGCTAGCCAGCAAGTGGTCTGGAACAGAAGGGTAAAATTCACTTGGGTGTTTTGGGCTGGCATGAGGCCTTCCACACCACCTGCACTCTATATTTGGAAACTATCTGGTGTGAATCTGAGTGGCCCTTTAAGGTACCTGCATATCCAGACATATTATTGAACACGTCTTGCTGAGGCTAATGTGAAATTGCATATGGGAAGTAATACATAACATGTAGCATGGGGGCCCACAGTGCTGTATTTATGAGGATCCAGTGATCTTAGGACGGTCCCCAGCAGTGATGCAAAGAGTTTGTGTCTGCTTTTTCAGCTCAGGCACAGAAAGGGATTCCCCAACAGAGCCATGGCTCTGGCATAGGTTTCAAACCAGTACCAACAATATGAAATGTTTGAGCTTTGTGCATTTTCTTGCAGAGAGAATTATGGATATAAAGACTATTTTCATTTAACATTTAATTCCAATTCCAATTAATTAAAATGCTTTAAAAATATGGAGGATTCCTCTAAAAAATTAAATGTTTCTACAATGACTAGTTTTCTTCAACAGAACTGTCACTTTAAATGTCAATTTGTCATGCATCTCAAAGCGACCAAAGGCAGAAAGGAACACCCAGGAAGACCCTCGTAGTGCTACTTTTAAGAGTTACAGTGCTTTCCGGACCAGATTTTTTGTTGGTATAAAGGTGTTGAATTTGATGGGATTGGACTAATAGATTTTTAGCCTTTGGTCTTAGATTTACATGTACTGCTTTCAGGGAAAGGCATGCCAAGAACTTGTCAACTCATGCTTCAGAGGAAGGAGAGAGATAGAAGTGTTCAGTTACTGCTGTTTGCCTCCCCAGCCAATACTTTCATTATATTCAGAGTATATTTGTTGGTAGAGAATAGACTGGGGAACAAATGAATTTCTTACCCTTTGTCTGCTGGGAGTGAGGGTGCAAAATGGAATGTGAGCCCTCCACAACACTGTAGACTGTTTAGGTACAAGAGCTAGAAACCAGCTGTTCACTCTTAATGCATCAGCTTAATTATCTAGGTAACCACATTTATTTTATCCAATATCATAGCATTATGGCAATATTGGCATTGTAGTGCTTAGACTCTGAGGTGGAAGAAAAAATAACTTTCTAATCTACTAGAATTTTTGAGCATGTTAACAAAATAATAAATTAAAAAACTAGCAGGATTTATTTAGACTTTCAAAAAGCCTTAAGATTCTTCATCTAAGATACTTTCAAAGACAGAGTGAGAAACAAAATGCTGTTATGGATTAGAAACAGATAAAAACAAAGTAGAAAGAGACGATACATTTGTTAGAAAGTTATATTTGAGGTCACAGTTGTGGTCAGCCAAAGTCCATATTGTCATTGGTATTTAACATATTAAATAATCAAAATTTTTAGACAAAAGACATGTGACTTAGGTTATTTGAGGCTAGTGGAAATATTGAGTTCCTTCAGAGGCAATTAAGAGATTAATGGATGGACAGTACAGTGACGGGAGAAAATATGGTTGACAAATGCAGAGTCATTTTGGATAGAATAACTTTGCTTATACCATATTGAGTTTTAAATTAAATATAACTACCAGGGAAGAAGACCTGGCCATCACTATAGACATCCCTGTTGAAATATTTACTTAATACGCACCAGTAATTTTAGTTGTAGAGGCAGAGTATATAATGAATCACTTGAAATAATTTTTAAAATATTATAGTGCCACTGTATAGAAATCCCTCAACTGGAGCATTACATCTAGTTCTGGTCACCATATCTCACACTGCAATGGAAATGATTAGAGGCATGGAAAATTTCTACATGAAGACAGATTGTGAAGAGACAAATAAGTGGTCATATTAAGGACCTACAAAACAATACATGGCATATAGAATTTAAATCGGGCATTTCTGCATGTTCCACTTCATACAAAAATAAAGGGTGGAATTAAAATGGAAAGAAGAGCACTTTAGAAAGATCAAAGAATGCTATGTTCTTAAAAATTATAAGTAACTTATAGAGCTCGCTGGCACAAGACAACAATAATGAGACTAAATACTAAGTAAATGACATAAATGTCTAGGGCTGAAATTGTCCCCCTGTTGAAGTCAGTAGCAAAACTTTCATTGATTCAGTTGGGCCAGGCTTGCCATTACAGTACTTTTGATCCAATATCAAACTATGTATTGGAGCTAGAAACCCACATTTTTCAGGATATACAGCAACCATAACATGGTAATTAGGAAAAAATGCCATATGGCAGGTTATTCTGTAATTGTGCAATATGGTGTTTCTTTCACCTTCAACAGAAGTGTCAAGCATCGGCTTCTCTAAGAGGTGGAAACTTGGTTAAGTGGAGTACTGCACCAATATGTTGTCTCAGTTCTGTTCCTAATTAAAGAAGTGCTACTTTGAGCCCTTGACATGTGTGCAAATGTTCTTTCAGTAAGTCCATCCTTATACAAGCACTGAGATATCCACCCTTTCTCGGAGAGCACACTGTTGTGACAGTTGCCAAGTGTGGGGAAGATTAAGGAATGCTACAAGTATGACACTTTGAACAATAGAAGTTAACTGAAAGTTGTTAGTCCCTATAGCAGCCATACTGGACTGATCTCTCTCCTTTTTAGTCTGGTAACACTTGCATATTGCCACTCATTTCACATTCATTTGAACATCATCCAGTCCCACAGTTAAAATAAAAAACATCAAGAGTAACAGCCCCATGTGAAAGTGTTCTGAGTTACAGCTTGCCTAGCCAGCAAACCTTTCAACTCTGTGATCCAGTGATTTGTACTACATTACTGCACACTTGGTTTCAAAGCAATTCATACTCATTAGCAAGAAAAGTTAAATGCTTGTTTCAGACTGAGTGCAGGAACCAGTAATAGGTACAGCCAATATGTAAATTATCTGCCCTTGTTAGACTATCATGTTTTACACTTGGAGCTCTTATTAATCTTTAGCATGCTTTATTAGCACACAAAGTACAGCCATAATTTTCATTTTTGCTTTTATAAACCGGGTGTAAAGAAATTCTGTCACAAAGAAACCCTGGTTGGATATACCTTTGTCAAGTTATGAGGTTCTGTTATTGTTCAGTATAAGTAAATACATATTAGCAAACTGAATTACTGTCTAAATTGGCTGATGCCATTGAAGTTGCAGCCACTGTGAATTAGGCATATCATCAACAGTAACTCTGAAGCACAACAGTTACCAGGTCTTCAGTGTTTTGTTTTAGTAAAAAATCTATTCTGGATGTTGCAAATATTGATATAGATATATAGATACATACTTAAGCAACCTCAGTCAGCAAGATTTTTTTCATTCATTTCCGATTCCAGTTCTGTCAAAATAAGAGCTATCAAGAAAGAATAACTAGATGTCAAATTCAACATCATAACAGTGACAACTATCTAGGCTATTGTGCCATGCTATTTTGTTGTTAACAGTTATACTGTGGTGGTTTAGAAAGGTGACAAAAATAGCTGCTTCCCATTTGCAGTAGCTGTTTTGCATTAATATCTCAGCTTTTTTAAAATGATTTTCAACTGGAATACCCAAGGGAAGCAATTTACACTAATGACTAAAAGTGAAGTGCTTTAAAAAACATTTTATTTTAACTAGAACTAGTTAAGCAAGCACCTGTTCCTTTTTTCCCTTGTTCTTAACAAAAAAATGAAACCAATTAGCACAACTTTTAAAAATAGGCAGCCTTAGTGACTACATCTAGATTAACAACATCTATGCTAATGTTTCATTTGGATAGGTGCTGGAAGTGATAAAGAAATTAAGCCGTAAAATACTAAAGCAGAGAGATTGTTAACTCTGTAACAGATGCTGCTAGAGTTAATGGGATGCCATAGTAGTCCGCTTTAAAGAAACAAGAATGTCCTTTCCCCACACTGTATTTGCGTCTGCATTTCTCAGCAGAGCTACCATGGTGATTTGATCTTAGTGATTTTATATTAGAATTAATTTGTGCTGTATATTTTTAGCTCTTTGGTCTTTCACATGCAGCCTTATAGTGGGCTCATCCTTATAAGGAATAATAAATTAAAGCAGTCAGTGGGGACAAGAAAACCTTCATTCTTTAAAAATAACTCCCACAGATGCTAGCAAATCACTTTTATTATATATTTGTTTTTAACTGTGTGGAATTATTTTGATTATTGCTTTTATGGATAGACTGTGCTGATAAGAGTCTGCTCTAGCGTAAAGGGTAGCACACAGCAATGGTGTTTCAGGGGCATTGCAAGGGATGGGCCATGCCTAAGAAAGCTAGTGCATTTTCTACCCAGCTTTCCACCTTGCCCTGGGGTAGGGAGGGTATCCTAATGTTTGCTTCACCCTCATCAGTAGTAGCTAGCAGTGTCCCCTGCCCTACACCCTCTTTTGGTCCAACTCAGTTGGCTGATATCCGGGGGAAGTTGTTCATGGTCAGTTAACAGCACCCATTTATCCAAGGTCAAGACGAGCCATTTAGGGCCTTAATGGAGGGGGCATGAGGTTCTCTTTTAAATGCAGCATAATCGCTCAATATAAGCCATGACCTGACCATTAATTAAAATTAACCACTAACATGACTATCTACATACCTTTCGTGGCAGAACCTGAGAATATTTTAATAATAAATTATTTTTGAAAGACTGGAAAGACACTTAACACCTAAGCAAAATTAATTTGAGACATCCCTACTTGACAACATTTTAATTTGTATCTCATAAATGTCTCTTTAATAGGAATGAAAAGAAATACATAAGCAGATACTGGAAAGAAGTTGAAGTTGGAGATTTTGTTCAGCTTCGTTGTAATGAAATCATACCGGCTGACATATTGCTGCTCTCTTCAAGTGACCCTGATGGTCTGTGTCATATAGAAACAGCTAACCTGGATGGGGAGACTAACTTAAAACAAAGACAGGTATTGCGGAGATTCTTAGAGCTGGTAAGTCAACATCTTAAATTTGTATTTTATTTAAAGTATGGGAGCAATTCACCAATCCAGAACCAGGCAATTAGGGCAGATTTTCCTATTGCTACTTATCCATCGCAGTGGTTGCCATAAAACTGCTAGTATTTGTCAAAAATTAATCTCATGATGGTATCTGAGGTTTCACTGTCACCTTCTCCAGAATATGAATAGGAGGTGCTTGCTGCACTAGCATGAAAACTTAAAATAGTTTTTTATTGCATGTAATTTGGGTTTGCTAAATGAATTTTTAACTGTCCAGTACATAAGAATTTTCAGGGTATGGGAGAACAAATGTTTTCCCTGACTCTGGGCTAAATGACTTCCTCTTGGAACTTTGCCTAAAACTCCATGTTGCAGTATTTCTCTAAAGAGTGTAAGACCTTGACATTCCAAGGTTTAAAGGTGAAGTACCCAGGAATTGGGCACATTTTGCAGAAAAAAGAACACTATAAAACCTGCTTCATTCTTTTCTTACTGCCACTCCCCTATGTGTAACCAACAAGCAGGCAAACAAGCCCTGGAAGTCAGGGACAGAGGCAGCTTTCACTGCAATTACATGAAAATGATCTGAACAATTACCTAACATTGCAACCCTTCTTAAGTATTACCATATTCATTCCCTTCCCTCTTTCTTCCTGTAATTCCTATAGGCTGGCAGGTCAGCGAAGAACCACCTGAAATACTTTTCTAGAAATCTACATGTATATTCTAGCACACCTGCTCATTTTGCCAAAAGCAATTTAGGATAGAAATTACATAACTGTAGTGACTCTTCAAGCACCAAGAAAGGCATAGAACAACCAGTGGGATAAAAATTCCTTTGCAAAATTCCTTTGCAAAAACTCTTAACTTCAGGCAAAACCTAGCACCTTCAGTGGCAGAACCTGAGAATATTTTTAGTACTAAAATCTAATAAACTTACTTGAGTAATAATCTTATTTTACTAATAAGATCTAATAATCGGAGCTGAAATGTGATGCCTAAGTCACGCACAGAGATCACTAATGTTTAAAAAAATGCTTATCTCATCTCTCCCTCCCTCTCTCTCTCTCTCTCTCTCTTTTTAAACATCAGTGATCTCTGTGCGTGATTTAGCTGTCATGTCAGCTTTGATATATTATAACTAAAATATTATTATTACTAAAATAAGATTAAGCTTTTCTCTAATAATCAAAGCTGACATATGACACCTAAATCACACACGCACACACGCACAAATATAGATGTGTGTGTATATAGATATATCTATAGCTATATCTATATCTATCTTTCTCTCTTTATATATACACGTGTGTGTGTGTGATTTAGATATCATATGTCAGCTTTGATCATTAGAGTATAGCTTAATTACAATTAACCAAATGTTTTGATAGCTATGATCAGTTTGTAGCCCAAAACACCTAATTTGTCTACTCAAAAATCATACTCTATTCCTACTGAGGGAAAGAATGGCCCAGTACTTAAAGGCGCTTGCTGGAACTCTGAACATGTGTGATCTGGGTCAAAGTGTGAAGAGATTTAGGCTATATCTCTAATGCTGTCCTGCCAAACCCAGGACTAGCGCACAGAAAAGAAGCCCCATCCACTCACTCCCCTACCACATGCCTCCAAAACTGTTATTTAAGTGACATATATCCCTTAGCTAAAAGAAAGAGCCTGAGAGTTACACACATGTAGAACCCTACTAACCTGACTACATTGTCTAATTGCAAGATTTTGATGTGTATGGAGCAGGAAGGAGTGGGCGAGACTTGTTTCTTGGCAGTGGTTCCATGCTTGGCACAGAGACGATATAGACATGGCCTTAAGTGTTGCAACACTGAGAAGTACACCACTTAATTTTTAGTCACCATGCCATCTAGTGGAATCCACTTCTCTGATTTATGCACCCTATAGATACCCTTTCTGCACAGAGGCTGAGTCCAGATGAGCGTGGCCTTGTGGTATGTGGCCATACCTCATGTTCAGCTGTTCTCCACGCTGCAAGGGAGCAGTGCGTGGGGTTTGACCCATGGATATCCAGGGGTCAGAAAAATCTGGGGGGGGGGAAATGTAAAATGGTGTATGTGGGGGTGTATGCTGCCCAAAACTGGAGCCTGGCCAGCTGGAGCCACACTGCAGCTGCCAGCTGGGCTCTGCATGGCAGGATTGCTGCTGTTGCAGCCCCAGAAGGCCCCCAGGACCCCAGGTAAGGCTTCTGGGGCCAGCCCGGTGCTGGCCCCAGCCTCCCCTATCTCACCCAGAATAGCCTGCCATGCCAGAGGGCATGCGGCAAAGGCATTCCTCAGGGACAACTAGCAGTGGCACAAGGTGCCCCACTGCTAGTTGTCCGGGGGAACCAAACACCCATACACGGGTGGACACGGCCAGAGAGTCAAGCCCATTAATGAGTCATACAAGCCAGCAAGCTAAGTAGGAAACTACCTAAGCTAGCCAGTAGGAAGTAGCAAGGAGAGAGGCCTTGACTGTAGGTATGATATGAATATAGTTGTATCAGATGAGTTCCATAACCATTGCCACTATAGAGTCACGCTCTCACTCTCTGCCCCAGTAAATGTTTAAATATAAATACAAATGGAACAGTTTCAGCCACAGAAATTATGAGAGACTCACCCAGAATGCACGCTAGCCTAGTAACTGGTTGAATGCATTGTAGCCTGCTGGGGAGGGGGGCAGGGGTCACACCAGGGATCAGGTACCTATTCCAAATCAGTCAGAGAATGGATTTGAATCAATATGTCTGAAATTCTGTCGGACAGATTTAACCACTAGGCCAGGGGAGTCAAACTCACCTTGTGCCCCAGGCTGGATCCAGGTTGCAGGGCCTGGATCTAGATTGGGGCACAAGGAATCTGCTGCAGCAGCAGCAGATCCAGACTGGCACTCAAGGAAACTGCTGCAGCTGTGGCAGCAGCAGCAACATCAGCAAGAGCTCCAACTCCAGACTGAAGCATGTGGCTTCTACCACAAGCCTCTGGCCAGTGCCAGAGCTGCTGCCACCATGTGCTCTTTTCTGTGGTGGCAGCTCCAGCTTTGACTCTATTATGGGGCATGCAGCTGGGGCTGGTGGCCAGCAGCCAGGGTGGTAGGGCTGTGGTGAAGTGGCCAGAGGGTGACTGGGGCCATATCAGCCCTTACTAGTCCTTCTACCACCAGTTGCCATTCTGGCTGGGCTGGTAGCCTGGCAGGCCAGATAGAGTAGCTGCATGGGCTAGATCCATTCTTGCACTAGAGCTAGAGACTTGGTTGAGGCCTGCTGGGATCTGCTGATTCCTCAGCGGCGGTCCAGCTGTTCCTGATTTCCTTGTTGGCTACAGGCAGTGAAGCTCTAAAATTTAAACCGATTATCCCCAGGTTGGCTGCTTAGGGCTTCATTGGTCTTCAGAATTATTTTAAGCCCAATCTCCTACTCCTTCCTGTATTTACTTAGTCCTCGGATTCTTCCTGGTTTCTGGATCCTGGATCTTGACCTCAGCTGCTGGTTCCTAGCTCCTGACTCTTGGGCCCCTGACTTCTGGCCTCACTCCTGCCTCATGGCTAGTTCTGACTCTTTACTTGGTACGTGTCACTGCCTTTCAGCTTCACTCTCCTCTCCAGGTTTATGACCTGGCCCTCACCCACACCTTAGTACTTAACATCAAGAAGTTCAATGCCATCAAGACTTAGTGACAGAAATTTTGGCACGAAAAGAACATAGTCATGTCCAGAATGAGGTAGCAACTAAGTGGGACTGTTGAGGAACTCAGTTGTGCTTAAACATTGCCCTGAAGCACCTGAGTCCCTTTTTGAACTTAGCCCATTGCCCTTTTGTGTCTCAATTCTCTGCCTGTAATATAATGAGGATAATAATTGTTCTATGCTATTTGGTGAACGGAGGATAATCTCATTTAAATTGGTGAGGTGTTCAGGTATTACAGCACTGGTAGCCGTAGAAGTTTCCAGGATAGAGCAAACTTCCATTCATTTCAATGAAAGCAGAAATAGGCTTTAAGAAAGTCTTTTTAAAGAAAGCTCCAAAGGAAGCTGCAGTACTCTCAGAATAACTCAGAAACCCTTTAATGCTTGAATCCTCTTTCTGTGTCATTTGAGCTGTCAACAGAGTGAACACCTGCTAGTTCTGAGAAGTCCAGGACAGCTGCAGTACCACAAAGGCCCTACATTGTTGCACCTGGTTGAGTTCCTCTGCCGAATACCAGCCACCCTCATGAAATTATCCCTGTCAGTGGGCACATCTACACGAGATGCTTAATGCACAGTAGCCTAATAACACTGCACAGTAGTGTGCTGGGCAAGAACCCTACTAGTACACTACTGCGCAGTAGCATTAGGCCACTGTGCAGTAGGTGTCACTAAAAACCCATGCACTGGCGCTGCTGGGCATTTAGTTAGTACTTCATTAAGCAAGTACCAGATGAAATGCTCAGTAACTACTGTGGATTAATGAACATGTAGATGTGCCCAGTATGTTGTCAGTGCATGTGGCAGCATTCAAACTGTCTCCTGAATGTGAGAAGAGTCTTCAACATCTTTGACCTTATTTCCGTGCTGAATTGAGCAGGGGTATGACAGAAGGTGGTTCTTAAGATGAAGGGCAAGCATATTGTACCAAATATCAACTATCTTTTTAACATGGGAGCCTGTCCCCGCAACCCCTTCTGAGTACTAACCCAACATGTTCATTCATTGGAAATGAATGCTTTTAAATTATCAGCTTAAGCAGCAAAATGACTTAATATGCTTGTGGTCCTGTGGCGCTGCTTGCATTTCGCAGCACTTTTTTTAAAGTGAGAAAATAAATTAATAGATTTTATAGTCTTACTCCCTCCTGTTTATAGCATGTACATGCTAGGTCATGTGGCTTATCACAGACCAAGGGGAAAAGATTTTGCAGTAATCACTCATTAAAATACCAGCAGCACATCACAGGAGTGAACTAGCTTTTCAATGGCAGTACCTCGAACATCTGGAAAAAT